CGGACGGGCGGGCGGGCGGGCGCGCGAGTGGCATCGGCACGTTTACGGGACCACCTGCGGAGCCTCGGCGGCAGGTGACCGGAAGGGTGAAACACGAGAAAAGACAAATAGCGATGATCTTTTCAGCGACCGATTTGCCCCCCCGCCCACCACGCCACACCCCCCCCCTTCACCTCCCCCCTTTACCTCCCCACGTCTCGAGTGAGAAAGCCACTAAGCGGTTCAGTAGCCGTGACCGGGAGCCGGCTAATTGATGCCCCCGAGCCATTGTGGTGGGCTTTCGCTATGATGCCAGCTTTGGAGTTGGCGCGGCCGGGAACACCCCCTCGCCCCCCTCCCCCCCCCCAGGAGGAGAGGGACGTTCCCACCGGCTCCTCGCCCCGCTCGGCAATTAGTCTCGTCGTGCTCCCGCCTTTGTGCCGGTGACAACCGCCCCTGCCGGGCCCAGACATTCCCGGGGATTCCGGGTTTACTCAGCCTCGCCGTGGAGGCCCCCCCCCCAGACTGGACCGCGTGGGACGCCGGCGGTGTTAGCGGCTGCCGCCGGCTCGGTTTGGAGACGGCGCTACCACCAGGCGACCGTTCGCGATAGCGGAGTGCAGACATAGCGGGGGTGGCCGGGGACGGCGATGAGTCACCGCTGCGACCGGCTTGTTACTTTCTACGCCCGGCTTGCCGCCGCTCTCTCTTACGCCGTCGTCGTGCCGTGCGCGGCTCGGCTTTTATTTTGCCGCGCCGGCATTCTTGCGCGATTAATCAGGTGCCGCACCTGTTCCCACCCCCCCCCGCCCCCCGTGTTTATTTATTTGTCGTCGCAGTTGAACTAAAGTTGTCACGCTTACGTCATGTCGCGCTCCCGCTCGCTCGCATGCTCGTAGCGGGCGTGCGATTTTTTTTTGTGTCTCCGAATGCCGTAAAACAATTTCCCCGTCATCTCAAACGTAAATACGGGACCGCGTTGGCAACGGCACGCGCCAGAAATGCCGCCTTCGTCAATGCGCCCGCGTGTGTGATGGGGGAGTGGTGGTGTGGCGGTTAGCGCCGCTGCGCTACGAACCCGGCGACCCGGGTTCGACTCTCACGGCCACCACCAGTGACGATAATTTTAACCGGTCCTGGGCCTCCCCTAGGTCCACTCAGCCTCAAATGAGTTACTGGTGTGGTGTTGGCCACTCACCCCCTCGCGTGCCCTGCCGGCCTTTGTAGGTGCTCACTAACAGCACTTGCCTCAACAGTCTGTTAAGGCTACACGGGGGAATCTTTGACTTTGTACTGCTGTTTTTATCAAAACAGATGTGGGACCAGAGTACACTACAACAACGCATGTTGCTGCGCTGCTGCCCTCTGCTGCCCTCTGCTGCCCACCGTGTAACACCGCAGCAGCCTACAAACACCTGTTTTGTGCATTTAGTTTGCTCATCCGAGCACTATCCAGGCTCAATCCCCCTGCTCAGCTGCGAAATCTGACGAGACCAGGAGCGATCCCGGCGATCGGGTCACAGTGCTGCGTGCAACACTTCCAAACCTCTCGTGGCAGAATCACAAAATGTGATCCAGGGACACCTCGACTTACGAACGAGTTAGGTTCCAGAGGTCTGTCCTTAAGTCGATTTGTTCATAAGTCCAACTTTACTCCTGTTGAATCCAAACATGTTGTTCGGCATGTAAGCTAAAACACGGGGAATGGCTTTAAAAGTTTTATCATCTCATGTAGATGTAGATGCCACTGCTTCTTCTTACTACCACCCTCGACACTTTCACCACTCTTGCGCTTCTGAGACACGATGGGGGTTGACGATGTTCGTGAAAAGCAGAGAGAACGTCATAGTGAACCGCGCGGCGACAAGACATCAACAAAGAATGGCGGTGGCTCCGGCATAAATGCTGGGAATTATGGGTAATGACACCCAAACAACCACCGCCATCTATTGCACAGCGGTTGAATACGACTTTCGGTCCGAACAGGCAACTGGACATACGGACAGGTTTGTTCGTGTGTCTTGAAAGTTCCGTAAGTCGAATGTTTATAAGTATAGGAGTCCCCTTGTACAGAGTTACACTTGCAGCAGTTTCCCCCCCTCCCGTTCAGTGTAGCCGGTGAACACTTCTCAGATACTCGGGTCATGGCGAGGTCGAAGACGAGAAAAAAAAAATAATGTATGCGGCGTAAATATTAACAGATACACGTTACACGTGGAACGATTTACGCGATTGAATGATTTGGCGCTATTTTATGATAAATCTGCCGCCGCAGGTGCGCGGAATCTTAATGCCGACAAAACAGGTCCTTTATGAATTAACCTTTACCCCCTCCACTCCCCACATGTTTCTCATTTACAGTTTATCCCAGTTTAGAGGAGCTATGAGAATGATTGAGGCCCTTTTGCGGGCTTAGAGACAAGACCCTCGCACCGCACTGTACGAGCGAGCGAAAGTGCGGAGTCTATCCAAAGCAGAGGGACGAGAGGGCGTGGAGTGATGGAGCTGGTGGAGGGGGGGGTGGGGGGCAGTGATGGGGGAGCATGTCCAGGTGTTCGGAATGGGCGATGTTTAATGTTCGCTTCAAAGCCCGCCGCAGTCTCCAAGCTCTCATGTGTTGGCCTCTGTAGTGGGTGCCAAGATTTTGCACGTTCTAAATGGGTGGAGGTATGCGGAGCGGTGCGGAGTGGTGCGGAGGGCCATAATTCAGCGGCGCACACTGTCCGTGGAACGCAGTACGGGGCTCCTCTGCAAGAATGTTTCTCTAACCACGTTCAAATGCGCTTTCTAACATTTTTCTTTTGGTGGGTGGTGGTGGGGTGCCCACAATAAGTGGGCTTTGAAAAAAAAAAAAACTTGCCTTCAAAATTGTAGCCCTGTTTTTTTGGAACCCCCCTCGCTGTTAGCGGTTTTGAGAACAAACAACTTGGTTTGGAAGAGTGGAGCGGTCGGTTGGCTTCGTCGTCGCTGAGATTCGTGTAAAATGAGAGGGTGGCCTTGTGGCTCAGACGGTCAGAGTGCTGAGAGGCTGCCGCCGCTGAGATCATCGGTTCCACATCTGGGCGGCCACCTGTGATTGAACTCGGTTTTCGAGTGCCGTGAGTTGATCGAGTTGACGGTCTCCACCCGGTCATCAATGACGGCACAACAACAACAAAAAAACCCCGAGCATCTGAAATTTGATTGCGCGTTTGATTTGGCCGAATTAGATCTTGTGAGCATTCAAATATTGGCTAGATTGTCGTGCGAGGAATATTGCCCTCGTGCAGAGTGTAGAAGGGAAAGAGGTGCTCTCTACCATAAGAACAAGAGAGGGTCACTTGAAGGAATCTCAGAGGTAGCTATGTGTTATCTGTCTCTGTGGGCCATTCTCTAACATGAAGGGTTGCACTGATCTCGCGAGATCTGATTGAATGACAACAACAACAACAAAAACGTTGACGCAAAACAAGATCGTACAAAATGTATTGTGAGCATCTTTGTGGATGGGGTGGATAAGATGATATTTGATCTGTCAAACTGTTGGGCCTTCTGGGCACAACTTTTATTGTTCAGTTGTGAATGGGACCCCTTTGTTGATTGTCCCGCAATCCACTGAGACAATACACAAAAGTAAACGCACTTTTGTTGTACCGTGGTGAATCAGGCCCATGGTTTTACCAGAGGGCCTTCGGTATTAACTCCAAATCAACTCGGCAGCATCTCTTTAATGGGCCCCACACCCCGCCGATGAGACTCAGCAAGTAGATGCAGGGTATGCCAGCACATCGTGCCGAGAAACATCGGTCCGTTAGGCCAGTAGGTTAATAGAGTTCTATGTTAAATCTATATATCTCGTTCTTGAACATGTTCTTGTGATTTTTGTTAGTAATAGGTGTTGAAGCAGGCGTTTAATGCATGAGTAATGTTTGATTTCATGGGTGTGAAAGCTGGACATTAACGCCAGTCAACTGTAAAACAAGCTTCTGGCTTTGAAGACAGAAGATGCATGTGCAGGATGCTAGGAATATCGTGGAAGGGGAGAGTAAGGAATGGAGCAGTTTGAAATCAACCGTGGAGAGCAAATGTGTGTGCTTTTTTCCAGAATAGTTATAATGAGCCATAAGGCTCTTTTTCACCGTACGTAGCCAACGGTGCTAATCAAGAGGTGCGGGGGATGGACAACAAACTACACACAAAAAGCAGTTCTAAAGAAATGAGTTTTTCAATCTAGATTTAAAAGTGCATAGCTCCAGTGGCTTCCTAATATCGGAAGGAAGAGCGTTCCAGACGGCCAAAGAAGCGCATCCGAAAGCGCCGCGCGATGCGGTGACCACCGCTCTGTTCGATGGTCGGACAAAAGCTTCCGCTGCTGCGAGGATGACCGCAGTTTGCGTGATAATTGTGCCCCTTATCGAGATCAGCAAGGTATTGTGGTTAATTTGTGGCAAGCATTTCGCGGGTAATGTGGACTTAATGAGAAAGTTTCGCGCGATGGGTGAGGCACATGTGCAGGGATGGAGGGAGGGGCAGGTTCCTGAGACGGATACCGAGGTGGGCAACCAAGCAGGAACTATAAACGAAACTATTTTTATTTTACCAAGTAAGGCCCACTGAGCTATGTTGCTCTTTTTCAGAAGCGACCTGACCACAAATGACAACCCAATGAAGTGACTTGTCACGTGGAAATGTATAGCAGCCAAATAGTCTAAATGCACGTTGATTAGAGAAAAATCTACGCGACCATGGGGAGAGAAACATGCAAACTCCAGATATACAGGCGTCGGGGTCGGGATTAAACCCACGATCTCCTGTATACCAGGTGAGGGAGTTAACATCTCGCCACCGAGAGCCACATTGTGATGATGACGACGACGGGACGATGAGAGGGGATCTTGTTGACCTCACACTGCCGTGGATGTTTGGCTGAAGGAAGGAAGCGATGACATAGTGGCATCAGTGTGGCGCTGCCCATCAGTCATTGTGCACGGACGTTTTTCGTTCGTGTTCTCAATTTGCTGCTCTTTTTTTTTTCATTTCAGCGACATCTTCGACGCGATGTTTCCCGTCACCCACATCGCCGATGAAACGGTCATTCAGCAAGGTAATTCTTTTTTTTTTATTAACCGTCAGCCTTTCCAAAAAACCGTACCCTTTCCCTTAGCTGGAAATGCTTCGGTCCTGATGGCGCTGTATTTTTAGTTCGCAAAGTTTGACCTTAAATAGTCCTCCGTTTGCAACCTACTGCGGCATTTGACTTTTTTATTTTTACGCCATCGATTCAGAAGCCGTAACATAACAGCGCGCATTTAAACTGCGAACAGCGCTGTCCATTCCACTCGCCGATGCTTACTTGGCACGCAGAAAAGGTTAGGAATATGGCCTCGCTCGCCACAGCGGATGGAAGACACTTGCCCCATTGTACATGCGCTTAATGACATTTCCCCGTCGCTCGTGCGGCTTAGAAAGGGCCGAGTGCGCCAACCGCACCCAAACTGAGTTGTTGACGTTCGTTTTGACACCGTCGCGGACGCGGCATTAAAATTGAACCTGGTGTGTTTTTTTTTCTTCCCTCCCGCAGGTGATGAGGGAGATAACTTCTACGTTATAGACCAGGGAGAAGTTGACGTAAGTCCCAAGCTTGCAACACAGATCACCTGTTGATTCCACAGTCAGCGCATACGGTGTTCCGGGCCAGTTTTCAGCACCAGACAAAACACATTTAAAGGAGCGTCAATGTCCACTTTTATATTTTTTATAAATATTTTTTTTTTGCGTGGCCTTTGAATCATTCAGCAAGACACACTGCGATGCATTGATTCCTGTGGCCTCATTTCTTCTTATATTATTATTATTTGGCATCATTCTTGCAAAAAGTATTTGTTTGATATGGATAGGCGGGATTGTTTTGGTAAGCTCCAACCCACTTGGGGTACAGTGACTGAAAGAAACCTTTGCCAAAAAAAAAAAGAATTCCACAAACTATTCAGACTTTCATCTCTACCCCAGTGTGTGTGTTTTTTTTTCTTATGCTCTGTTAATTTTCTTGGAAGTGGGGCAGATATTTCCTAAGGTGATGTCAGTCCCACATTTCTCAGTAAAGCATGGTCGTTTGGGGGTGGCGGAAGGGGGGGGGGGTACATTTTATTCTGTTTCCTCCGCCACTCGTTGCTACCCGGACCCCACTGCGAGATGACTGCCGGTCCCGGCACTCAGCCGTGAACCCCACTGGAAGTTCCTTCATGGTTTAATGGCCAAGTCACTTACGCATTCGGCTTCACGGCTGGCGTGATGGTGGGGTGTGCGGGGGGGTTAGTGGAGGGCGGTAGTAGGGGGGGCGCAGTTCACTTGTTTTTTTTTTTGTCTCCGCTAATGAAGCTGGCTTTGACTACGCCAGCACCTTTTTTACTTTACGGTTTCGGGGGGGGGGGGGGAGGGGGTTCTCAGCTGGGCATCGCGCTGCCCGTGGGTGTGTGCGCGTGCGGTGTGCACCCCTGCGCGCCCGTGGTACGCCTTTGTGCGCCTTAACGTCCATCTCCTTTCAGAGGGATGTCCCACTTCCTTGTTAAAAAGCCCAAGGAAGTTCAAAGGGCTGGAAAGTTGAAAGCGTTGGCTCTTCTTCTTCTTCTTCTCAGCGGTGGTGCGGCATTTTCTCTTTAATCTCCCAAAGAGCGTTGCCCACAATTACGGTTTAAACCAATCCGAAATCCATCCTGAGTGGCAAAGGTGAAAAGAAACAAATCTTAAGAGTGTGTCTAATTGCGGTCGAAATTGGTACTGCCACCATTGTGTTGTTTTGTCTGTTTGCGTGTGTGTGTGCGTGGCACAGCGGTTTGTGCCGCTGCGCTACGAACCCGGTGAACGGAGTTCGATTCCTGCTCACGGCCAACACCGGCGATGATTATCTGAACTGGTCGTTGGTCTCCACTAGCTCGAATCAGCCTCAAATGAGTATCCGGTGCGGTTTGTAAACATCGCCACTGTGGGGAGATGAAGGTGGCCGGGCGTAGTGCCGGCTACCCACCCCCTCGTGTGCCTTGTCGGCTTTCGTAGGTGCTCGCTTAACATCACTTGCCTCAACAGTCTGTTAAGGCTGTGCAAGGAATCTTGGTCTTGTGGGCAGCGGTCGTATAGTGGCGGGCGCACTGCACGCACGCACACACACACATACAGACAGATTTTCCCAAGGACCAAAACCTAAGTCATCTCAACACTGTGAGGCTGTCTGCAGACAGGTGAAAAATGTGTCCTGAAGACAGGCACGGAGAGAGATGAGAGGGACACACAAACACGGAGAGACAAGGAGTCAGACACAAGGAATGCTGCTGGTTCGTGTGCCACGTGTTGTATGAAGACGGGCATCTGAAACGGAATCCGATGAACCTCATGGAAAGACGAGGATAAGCAACTCCAAAGTCTGGAAGACAACGTGGCCGGTAATACGTTGTAGCTAGGATTAGGTAAAAAAACAAAAAGGTGGTGCTGGATAGAACGTGTCCAGCATGGGAAAGGACCGGCTACCGACAAAGGCGTTGTAATGGTCTCCACTAAGAAGAAGCCCTTCGACCAGGTGGTGGGATTCTGTTAGGGGGCAGATCATGGATAGGCCGCTTGCGTGTCTTCTGTGCAGCAGCTGTGCAAATCTGACAGGGGGGGTAGGGGGGTGGCGTAGTTTGCATCAAACGGTTATGGTTGCGATGCGATGACATCTTTATCTTGAAATACGGCACCGGTCGTAGGGGGCAGGTGTCGTAGGCGAGCGCTTATGAAGGCTGCCACCGCACGCCAGACGGGCGGTATGACCTCGACCGCAGCCTGATCACCTTTGTCTTTCCAGCGCTGGTGTCCGCAGCACATTGCACCTGGCGCTCACGTTGTGAATGTGTGCGGGCGCTTTGCACGGAGTTGAGTCTGGAGTGCCCGGTTGTGTGTGTGTGCGAGTGTAAGGCATTGGCCACACTCGCGACGCAAGGCCGATTCCACGAAAACACGCTTGATTAAAACATGCGCATTCTCAATAAGCCGTCTGTCGGTTAAGGTTTCTTGATAAAAAAAAACTATATTTACTCGAACAATAGATGAATTTCCATAGCAGCAGGGAAGGCTGTTTTTGTATTTTCGTATATATATTTTTTCGGTGGGGTAGTGGCTATAGGGGCAAGGGGGTGTGTGGGTCTGTGGGTATGCAGAGTGGCGAGTGGTAGCGCAGAGGTTAGCGCACTGCGCTATGAACCTGGCGATGCGGGGTTCGATTGCCATGCACGGCCAACACCAGTGACGAATATTGGAACCGGTCCTGGGCCTCCCCTAGGTCGACTCGGCCTCAAATGAGTTCCTGGTGCAATGTGTCAACATCGCCACGAGGAAGACAAAGGCGGCCGGGCGTGGTGCTGGCCACCCGCCCCCTCGTGTGCCGTGCCGGCCTTCATAGCTATTTGCGAAGAGTACTTGCCCCAACAGTCTGTTAAAGCTATACGGGGGAACTTTGTCTTTATTATGGAGTGTGGGGTGCGGGGGGAGGGGCGAGTGAAGGGGGTTATGGCATGAAGGAGGGGGGCGGGTGGGGGGCGATTTCACAGCAGCTGGGTATGGCATACCACTAGAACTAATAGGACACACGCTAGACTGTACTCTCCCGAGCTTTACGTAAACACGTGATATCAATAATACATTGCCGTAGGCTGAAATCTATACAATTCTCTCATTACGTTGATTCGTGCGAGGAGGTTTTTTTTACGTCGTCGTCGCTGCGACAAGACGAACACGCGTGCCCCCCCAAAAAAAATACATTTGTGCCACCTGTGTAAACATCCGTCATTTATATACCTGCGATTTAATTGCGGTGGCTACAAAGGGACATGTAAGAAATGGGGCTTTCAAGCGGTATTTTTTTTCCTCTCCTCCTCCCTCATCCTCCCTCCTCCTCCTCATCCCCCCCTGCTCGTTACGTTGAGATTTAACGCAGTTCAGCGATCGTTGAGCTGCAGGGGTCTTTTAAATCCGTGCTACGTAACAGCTGCGGTCAAATCACTCACTCCCACCCAATGTTTGTCAGTTCAGAATGAAACCTTGTCTTCGTGTGGATAAAAGGAGAAGAGAAAAAAAATCACAGTAATAATACTATATAGGGAGAGAGCGAGAGAGGCTTGCCTGATGTTTTGGGTTTCCAAGTGTTGGAGGAAGGGTGGCTTTGTTCAGCTAGCTCCTCTCTCCCCCCGGTGCTCGATTCAGGCGATGGGTCGCATTGTGTAAAGCCGGCCCCGGCGGAGGTTCGGGCACGAGGCCAAGCTTGGAGGGCGGCCAGCGCCGCTTGTCTCCAGCGAACAGGAGGTCGCTCGACTCCGTGCCTCCCATCCCTTACCCACCCCCCCCCCTTCTTTTCCCTACAAAACCCGGCTCACACCTGTCACTGCGCACGCACGCACATGGCTGTGGTGGGGCCCCTCTCCGCGTGCTGGAAAAGGATTTTAATTAGCTGTCTACCCCACCCTCGCAGCGTCTCTCTCCGCTTGCAAAAGTTCTGCTCGGTTAATTTGTCATTAAAATAATTCGCATTCCTCCCCGATGCTCACTTGTGGAGTTTGGGACTTTGGCAAGAAAACGTTTGTGACGGGAGCAGGGAGCAGCGGCGGGCAGAGGCGGCTGCTGCGGCGGCTGCTGCTGCTGCTGCTGCGTGCGCATCAGCTCAGGGTGGAGCAACCTCTTCTCTACGGGATGAATGATGTGCGAAACAACAAAGTAGGATATGCTTGGTTCTTTCGGTGAAGTCACGTAGAAGGGAAATAATAAAATAATAAAAATAAAACAATAAAATTATCACGACGTTTCGATTGCAACACAAGCAATCATCATCAGGTGTGAAAACCACAGCAAGAAATCTTTTTGAAAAAAAGGCCACTTTTTTCATTTCCCTTCTACGTGACTTTACTGAAAGAACCAAGAATATGAATCCCTGCAGTCACGAAAGCTTTAAATTGAAACAAAGTAGGAATCGAGTGTTACGGTTGCTTTTGGTTTGGATTCTCTGTATTGGCCCTATGGTAACTCCATTTTAAAACTTATTTCGGGTCGAAATTGGTTGCTTCCGAACGTTTATCGTCGAATGCTTTGCAACGATGCGTTCCACCAAAAGAACGTCTTCTGGAAGAAATGTGTAAATACAATCATCAGCCATGATTGATCCACTGCTGGATGAAGGCCTTGCCTTCACCGCTCCTACCCCCTACCCAAGCCTCCGCCACCACCGACCAAGATCTTGCGACGTATTAATCCTACCTAGCACCTGCACATTGACAGATTTAATAGATTTTTCCCACCCGGTGGATCTCTTCTCGGCCTTGTTTTATGCATCGGCAAATATATAAATAACAACACAAACAGGGAAAGGTCTGTTCATCACCAAAATAAAATATTCTTTCACTAACACCCTCAAAGTAAGTGTTCACAAACACCCTTATTTTTACGGTAGCATTTATTTAAGCGGAATGCTTTGGACCGGTTTTGACTTCCCTTGAGTTTCATCAGCCGGGTGCGGCCCGTGAAATGTTATAGGTTTGGCATGTGTCTAAAACGCAACCATTCGCCCCACATCATTTGCGAAGTCTCCATACTTTTTGGCCGGATTTGTT